ACCGCGGAGGTGTTCCGTGTCCCCGAGCCGACGGCGACACACTCGCGGAGGTGTTCCGTGTCCCCGAGCCGACGGCGACAACCGCGGAGGTGTTCCGTGTCCCCGAGCCGACGGCGACAACCGCGGAGGTGTTCCGTGTCCCCGAGCCGACGGCGACAACCGCGGAGGTGTTCCGTGTCCCCGAGCCGACGGCGACAACCGCGGAGGTGTTCCGTGTCCCCGAGCCGACGGCGACAACCGCGGAGGTGTTCCGTGTCCCCGAGCTGCCGCCGCCGACCCCGGAGGTTTCCCGTGTCCCCGAGCCTGCCATTCTAGAGACGTTCCGTGCCCTGCAGTCGCCGCTCCGGAGCCGGCTTGGTGACCGCCCGCCGGGCCGACCCCCAGAGGCTCCCCGCTCGTCTGGCCACCCGCCGGGCCGCCCGCCAGAGTTTCCCGGGTGGTCCGACCAACGTCTCTGGTTTCCCTGCCCCCCCACCCCTTGTTTTGCTCTAGTGTGAGCCGCCTGGAAGTCGGTCCTTGAGGGGGGGGGTACTGTCACGGTGTGGTTTCACTTCCTGTTGTATTTTGTAGTTTTCTGCCACTCGTGTCCCCGGGTAACTTCACTTCCTGCCTTGTCCCGTCATCCCCTGTGATCGTCTAATAGTTTCCACCTGTGTCCAATCACCTGCACCTCCCTTGTGTATTTAAGCCATGTGTCTCCTGTGTCACTTGTCGCGTCATTGTCTTTTGCCACGCATGTCCTTGTCCTGTCTTTTGTCTTGGATGCCCATAGTTTCATGCCTGAGTGTTTTCGCCCCTTGGATTTTGGACCTTTTGACTATTAAAGTCTTTTTGTTTTGGAAAAGTCTGCGTCTTGAGTCCTGCCTCCCACCCGCGCCCGTGACAGAAATAAATAGCCACTATTTCTGCTCTTAATTTGTTGTGTGAATCACACAAAGGTTATAAATACCAATTATTGCGTAGAGAGCGGCGTACGCTCACATGGTCTGCTGTTTATGGACTCATTTTAAAACAATGGGTGTACATGAACACAGTTTATATCATCAGTGTGTACGTGATTCTTTTGGAAAGAGGCCCCTAACTGTCCCTTTAAGAAAGTGTTTCCTAACTGTCCCTTTAAGAAAGTGTTTCCTTACTGTCCCTTTAAGAAAGTGTTTCCTTACTGTCCCTTTAAGAAAGTGTTTCCTTACTGTCCCTTTAAGAAAGTGGCCCCTAACCATCCCTACATGACAGTGTTCCTTTACTTTAGGACAGCGATTCCCAAAGTGTGGGAAGGTACTGCAGGTGGGCCACGAGACGTCATTTACAATAAATAATTAAAATGTTTTTAATTTTCAATTTTAAAAAAGTTTGAAATTAATATAAAAATATTTATATTATTTGAACAATTCTAGCGGCACATTAGTGATGTGAAACATTAACTGATGAAGCACAAACAATTTAAACGAACAGATTAATAAAACAATAAGGCTGTTGTCTGCCTGTCGTTATTCAAACAAAACAATGTCAAATAGGCGCCTCTTGTAGTATTAAAGTAAATATATATGAGCTCCGGAGAAAATGGTATACAAAACATACATTGTCGGTTAATACATTTTTTATTGGTTAAGGTCATTCAATCATCCCTAGTTTATGTTTTGATCAGGGTTGTGATTAAAGGTTTGGGTGGGCCGCAAAAGATTTTCAGATTTCAAATTGGGCCGCGGCGTTCTTGAGTTTGGGAACGGCTGCTTTAGGAAAATCGGGCCTAACTGATATTTTATGAAAGTGGCCCCTTAATGTCCTTTTAAGAAAGTGGCCCCTGGTCTCCCTTTATTAAAGTGGCCACTGATGTCATTTTACTAAAGTTGCCCCTGGTGTCCCTTTACTAAATTGGACCCCACTTGGTTCTTTATTAACGTGGCCCCGGTGCCCTTAGTGTTTGTACCTCAGTTTGGACCATGTTGACCCTTCGCGCTCTCAGCTCTCGGACACAGTTGTAAATGTCGACGACTCCTTCTCGCTCCGCCATGTCCAGCATGATGTCGACCACGATGAAGCAACCTGTACGTCCGGCCCCCGCGCTGACACACACACAAAAAGACACACATGTTACATATGTTCTTCATGCTGTACCTCATGTAGCATCAGGGATCAATATGTGAGTACCTGCAGTGCACCACGGTGGGGCCGGCGGTTGTGGGGTTTTTGGCTTTGATGCGGCGGATGAAGCCCAGCAGGCCGGTGGCGTGAAGGGGAACGCCGTGATCAGGCCAACCGGTGAAGTGGAACTGACGGATCTCTCTGATCTCTGCCACACCCCTCTGAAACGATCACATCCATTGATCCACTAGTCCACATGATGTCATAACCTCCATGTTTTTCATTTAGTGTATATATCTTAGTGTGTACATTGTTTATTTGTATGCATATCCTAGTGCAGCGGTTCCCAAACTCAAGAATGCTGCGGCCCACTTTGAAATCTTAAAATCTTTTGCGGCCCACCCAAACCTTTAATCACAACTCTGATCAAAACATAATGATTAAATGATCTTAATAATTTAACCAAAATCAAACATCCGCGAGCAAAAGTCCGTCTCGGCGAGGTATTTGCTTGCTTGCGAAACGTGAGCTTCGTTGCTCGCGAGGAGAATCTTTGCTCGCGCTCGAATGCTGTGAGGTGCGTCGGCTCCCGCCGCCCCCCTCGCCATCCACGCCTTAAATCTTCGGCTGCTTTTAGAATAACTTATTTCCCCGTTAAGATGGTTCAGCTACTGTAGAGAAAAGGGCGCCGTCTCTCGCTCTTTAATCTCATGAAGTGCTCGGCGAGAACGACAGCTTTGCTTCTCCGACGCGCCCTGAAAGCAGCTTTCAATTTAAAAATTGAAAATTAAAAAACTTTATTTATTTATTGTAAATGACCTCTCGCGGCCCACCAGGAGGCCGCGGCCCACACTTTGGGAATCGCTGTCCTAGTGTATACATGTATCACAGTGTGTGTGTGTTGTACCTTCTCCACAGCGAAGGTCCGGATCACGTACTCTGAGAGCAGCTGAGTCTCGATCAGCGTCACTTTCATGTCTCCGTAGATCTCAGTGTCGTCTGGCCAGTACTTACAGCACTTTACCTGCACGCACACACACACACACACACATACACACCTCGTTTATTTGTTACACTCGGGCAGAAATAAAGTGACTTATTAATTAGGCCAATATTAAGATCAAAATCTCAGCTTCAACACACCCTTTAGTTTACAGCTCTGTATAACTCAAGTGCAGCTCAAATCTGCTGCTATTTACACGAAAACGAAAATCAGCTCATTGCAGAAAGTCACAGAGGGAGACCTGACAGATGCACTCTGGGAAATGGAGTGTGTGTGTCTATGTGAACTCACCCGCCCCACCTCCACCAGGTTGGTTACCATGACGATGGCAGCGGTGTTCTCTTGCCAAACCATCCGCCAGAAATCATACGCAGTCTCCTGCATGGGACCTGAAATATACAGTACTGTATTTCAGAAAGTGACACCAGAGCTATGCATGAATTATAATGACTTTTAATTCATTCAAAGTCACACACACGCATAAAAATACACAACAATGTTCTTAATCACTGTTGACAGTCTGTATTTTGACGATCTAATTAGTTCATGCTAATCCATTCCTGTCCTCAAGGGTTTTACTGCGAGAATCTGCTGCCTGAACAACCACACACACACACATCCACTCTGTGTCCGCATGTGTGTGTGTGCGCATGTGTGTGTGTGTGTGTGTGTGTGTGTGTGTAAACAGGTGATGGCTGCTGGTGTCGCTCTTGGTGAATGGGCCGATCAGGTCAGAAGTTAAAGAGTTAATAGCAGAACAAGAAGAAGAAATGTCTCCAGCAAGCGTTGAACCGCGTGTGCTGAGTGTTGTTACTACAGAGGTCAATAACGTATCTTCAAACACATTTTGTCTTCTGAACTTTATGTAGTTCTTGTTTTTTATCCTCTTAGGAACCAAATCAGAAGTCGCTCAGTTCTTCATTTCTCACCTTGAGTAGCGACGTAGTGGTTTGGTCTGTGGTAGCCCTGAGAGAAGAGAGGAGGAGGATCATCATCATCATCATTCTCACATCATCATGGACATGCAATACCTAAGAGATATTAATCATGTCGAGCAGTGAAGATGAAAAGAAGCTGATCACACAAATATTCCTCTCCTCACTTTGTGTAACTTTGTCTTTTCTGTTTATCGTTGGGCACCAAAACACCCATTTTCCAAAAGTAATAAATAAAGCCGCTAAAAATGGCCTCACTAAGCTGGTAAACAAACCATTCCTCTGCAGGGATGTTTACAGAGTCAACAACAGCTTACTGATGACACCCATCGCCATGGAAACAGGACGTTACAGATCGACCTTTGAAGGAACTAAAGTAAAGTGCTACTCACGTCCACGTAGTTGGCATTGATGTAGTCAGAGCCGCCGTCTCCGTCCTGAGGCTGCAGACGCACACGAGAGTGATCGTCTGGTGTACACACACAAACACAGAGACACACACACATTTTTTAATTAGGGAGCTTGTTGCCGTGGTGAAGCTCAACATAATCACCTATAATGAGCTTCCACTAATAAATAAATACACTGTGTCTTGTGCTATAATCACGTTAAATAAAAAAACAGATGAATTATGTCTCATCACACACATATATTAGGTCCTCGTTCTGGATCAGAAACATAAAGCTTCCAGTTCATCAATTAAATAATAAACACATGGTGTTGCAGCTAAATTACAATAAATCAAATAGTAAAATTGTTGCAGATTTCTGTCCATTGGTTGGTTAACTAAATATTTCAATTTATTGTTGCAAATTAGAACATGAGCATCAGACGGTAACGCAGTTATGAACAGATAATAAATGTTTACTAACATATACTATTAGAATTTAATCCACAAGAGGAGTCATCATCACACACACAACTTGCTGTTATTAACAAGTTAGAGATAAAGAATACCTGCAGATATCAGCAGTTGTTTGAAATTATTTCTCCACTATTTCATCTTTTGTAGGTTACATTAATAACTGATTCTAAGCTCTGGTAAATAAACGGCTGAAAGTGTATTTTTTAAGGGGACCATGTTCTAAGTTTAAAACAAATGGTATTTAATATTATTAAATATATTATTAATATTATTAATTTTATATTATATATAACATATGTTATATTTGTATATTTAGTCATTTTGTTTTCCCTATTCCGGTGTCGTTTATTATTTGTCCGTTAGACACCCAGCTGTTTGTCCTACTGGGGAATAACATCCTAAAATTTCTTTTGTATCCATTGATTTGTTTTTCTGCAGGAAGTCCAATAAAAAAATACAATGAATTTAATCAACTGACTAATTCATTCACAAGTCCCTGTCAGCCGGTCTCATGCCTGCAGCTGATTGGCTGTCACTGCTGTCACACACATTTAACTTGACACACACACAAACGGAGACCAGTGTGTGTGTCTGTGCGTGTGCCTTTTATCGGCTGGTGTGAATACAAAGTGTTTCCCTGCAGACCAGCATAGCCTCGGCTTCTATCACACCTCATTAGCATAATTACAGCACTACAGGACAGAGATTGTGTGTGTGTGTGTGTGTGTGTGTGTGTGTGTGTGTGTGTGTGTGTGTGTGTGTGTGTGTGTGACAGCAGCTGAAAGTGAGCAGCTGTCAGCACTGACTTTCTGGGACGTAAGCACATTAGCTTCAGCGGTTCCATGTTGTGTCTCTGAGACCTGGAGCTGTGTGATGATAAGAACTGACGTGAGATCAGCTAGACGAGAAAACTAGAACGTGTGTTTCCTGTCTGACATTCAGCCGGCTGAGCTGAAGACAACATCATTGGTCAATGTTCATTTATCGCAGAGATTATTTATAAATAAAGCGACCGGTTCCATTCAAGTTTATAACGTTTATCTAATGTAATCTTTAATGAGAAGTCTACTGAGATAATCCAGCACCAAAACACCCAATCCAAGACCTGCATATCCCAGATTATGGGACAGGTATTGGTCTGCCAATCCGAAACCAAGACCCAATCAAAGATCAATGCGTGCCAGATTTACACCCATTTAAAGACCTGCAAGTCCCACATTAATACCTGAACCAAGACCCAGGTAATGACCTGCAAATCCTAGACGCACCCCCACACCCATGATGACAGCGCTCCAGGTTCTGGGTTCAGCCTCACATGTTTGACCTAAAGAGCTGCTGGAGTTTGATCTCCTCCATGAGACGTAATGATCTAAATGATTAATTGTTGCTGAAGCAGCATTCCAACAATTTAAAAAATCACTGATTTTGTTTCATGAGTTTTTTGTCTCTCTCTCGTTAATGATCGCAGGTGTGCTGTTACCGTGGTAACTCAGGCGCACTGCAGTCTCTCTCTCTCTCTGATTACTGCAGTCTGACCTAAAAATAGGATTTTGACACTGAATATCTTTTAGCTAATAACTTTAAACTAATACATGTTTATCAGTCTTGCTTGGTGAGGGGCCATTACGGGAAGGAACCGTAAGCAAAAACGCTCGTCCCTCCCTCACTGAGAGCAAAACACTCGACTAGATCGCGACTCTTTGCTGTCCTGAGCTCTCTGAAGACATCAGGACCACAGAGAGCCTTCACATCTTCAGACTAAAGACACACCTCTTCAGACTCTACCTCCACTAACACACTAACTAACTGTAGCACTTACATTGGACTTATAACGTCACTCATCTATAGCAAGTTGTAAATTGGCTTATTTGAGGAAATTGCACTTTCTTGTTTCTTGTTCTTCTGAGTTTGTGTCCTTATGGTTAAATGTTCTTATTGTAAGTCGCTTTGGATAAAAGTGTCAGATAAATGACATGTGATGTGATGAAGTGCAGACAGGTAAATTTACTTACTCTGAATGCATGCAACATGAAATGTTTGGTAACGTTCCCTTTTAAATATAAATGTGTTTCTTTTGTTTTAAACAGGCGTTGGGGACAACCAGTGTTTTACCCTATTTAGTATATGGTAGGCTTATTTAATAAGCCAATTGCATAGGGCCGTTTTATGTTTCATTTTCTTGTGACACAGTGAGGGAGCAGCCATCTTGCATGTGTTTGTTGTGTGGTTTGTTTAGTCATCTTAATTGCTGTGATTTGATTGGTTTCTTTGAAGTGTTATTCTTTTATATTTTGTGACTATTTACTATGGTTAACACCTTTAACACTGACCTCCCGAATGTTAGATACAAGATAGTCCCACATAGTGTATTTTTTTTGTTGGTTTTGTTTCATAAGTGAACAGTATTTAATCTTTTTATTGACTTATTTGAAGAGTTCATTTAATAAACCGTTTTCGCTATAGTAGTCCCGTGTTCCATTTTATTCGGGCTCTTGTGCGTAGAATATCACCGGGTCAAACTGCTATAACAAAGTACTACTAGTATTTATGCTAGTAGTATTAGTATTAGAATAACTAATTCTACTACACATACTACTGTGACTAATTGTATCATTCCTGTATTTTGAGCAATTAAAAAAATGTATTTTAGCTTTAATATTTCAGCATTCCAACGCATTTTCTAGTTCCTTTACTGGTTTTGGTTCCAGAGGTGACGAGGCGTTATCATGCTCGTTGTGACTTTCAATGCACAGTCTACAAATACTGTTCCCAGTTTAAACATGACCTCAAACGTGGAGAAGATGTCATCAGTGTCTTCAACACATCAGCTTCATTCATTAAATATTAGTTATGTGCTTTACCGCCCCTCTGACCATGTGTGGGTACCTACAGGCGATGATGTTTCCATAGCGATTCTTCATGCGGTTTTCATCCTTTTTGGCTGAGTCCCAAGGAGCCGACTGTCCCTCAAAGAAGCTCTGAGAAGGCAGAGACACGATTGTTCAGCAGAAGCAGAGCGATGAAACACGAACAATGCAGCGAGAGGGTTTGATTTCCCGTTGTATCCCTGAACGCACACGGTGCAGATGAAAACGTCCGATTATGAAAGACGTCCTTTCTGATCATGTTAATGGAGTAAAAGTACACCTCTACTTTGTGACAGAGCGAGGAAATGCTTGTGAATCACATTCTTTTTTTCCTTATTTGTATTTTACAAGCAAACTGAAAGCAGTAGAGTCGTTTTGTGTGTCTCTGAACGAATCAGAAACCATTTATTGCCACACATGTTGCATAAAGAGGAATTTGACTTGGTGCATAATATTCTGAATCCAAATCATTTTCCTAAAAACCCCAATATTTTTCATTTATGCTTTGTTTATTTGCAGTTCCTTTTTGTCTCATTGTTGCAGTTTTCGGTCTCTTTGTGTCTAGTGTAGTAGTTCTAGACTCCACATGTACATGCTCATTAAACATGTTAAACTCTGGAGCTTTATCTTCCTACGGATCATAACCGCTGAGTATGACACACTTTGATCCACAGCAAGTCTCCTGGGTTGCTCATTAAAACGCCTGCAGGCAGGTGTGTGTGTGTGTGTGTGTGTGACAGCAGTCTAACAGCGTCAGACATCATCCCACTAAGAGGTGTGGAAGTCGTGTCAAACTCTCTCTGAGTGAACGGAGCGTGAGGTGAATTGTTGTGTGTCTGTGTGTTGTGGTGTGACTGTTACGGTGATTAGGTGTTTTTGTGGAGTCGGTCTGTGCTCGCTTTACCGCACCGTTGTGACAAAAAGAGAGCTGAGCTGGAAGGCAAAGCTCTCGATCTACCGGTCCATGGTCGTTCCTACCCTCACCTCTGATCATGAAGGATGGGTCATGACCCAAAGAACTAGGTCACGGGTACAAGCGACCGAAATGGGTTTCCTCAGGAGAGTGGCTGGCGTCTCCCTTAGAGGGTGAGAAGCTCAGCCATTCACGAGGAGCTCGCAGTAGAGCCGCTGCTCCTTTGCGTCGAAAGGAGCCAGTTGAGGTGGTTTGGGCATCTGGTGAGGACGCCCCCTGGGCGCCTCCCTAGGGAGGTGTTCCAGGCACGGCCAGCTGGGAAGAGGCCCCGGGGAAGACCCAGGACTAGGTGGAGAGATTGTATCTCTGCACTGGGCTGGGAACGCCTTGGGATCCCCCAGTCAGAGCTGGTAGATGTGGCCCGGGAAAGGGAAGTTTGGGGTCCCCTGCTGGAGCTGTTGCCCCCGCGACCCGACCCCGGATAACCGGCTGAAGATGGATGGATGGATGGTCTGTGCGTGTTTGCAGCTGGTCGCGGGCTGCACGCATTAATGGTGTTTCTTGTGTTTCTTGTGCTCATGGTGGACTGCAGCCTGGCCGTGAGGGGGGGCTGTGGTAGGGAGGGTTGGGGGGGAGGGGACTACACCTGAGGAGGGAGCAGGCGAAGTCCAGCAGGATGGTGGGGGGAGAGTGGACTCCAGCCGGGCGGGTGACGGAGTGAATGAGGGGATGGGTGGGGTCCAGCAGGTGGGTCATGGGGGAAAGGGGGGCTGGAGGAGCCGGGAAGGAGAAGGGAGACGGATGTTGATGGGATGGTGTTTGCAGACCGCAGTATGGACATGGGTCAGGGAACAGGAGAGGAGCATCAGAGCCCGTCCTCTGCTTATTGGGGACTGATCGTATCTCCTCAGGTGGGACAGTCATCCATGTACAGTTTGGGGAGGGTGAAACCCTCTTAAAGGTCACTAAGAAAATGAAGGGTGAATGAAGAGTCCAGCTGGAGGACTACTTCTGTGACACGGAGAAGTTCTCTCATTCTGCCTTAAAAACACAAGTAAGAAGGGCGGTGGAAGCTACATCCAGCAGCAGGCTTTCAGACTGAGGAAGGAGTCCTGAAGATCAACACGGTGTGTATCTAGATGCTAATGCTAACTGTCTGCATAAACTGCCAAAAGTCAAATGTCAAAGATGTTTTCAGATTAGATTATTTTGTCTCTCAAAAACAAAATGAGTGTGACTTAATACTTTTTTAAAACATTAAGTTCTGAAGTGGATCTGAATCAATCGACTGTGAACTTCACTTGATTCTGATGAATGAACATCTTCACACAGATATGAGCGTGTAGTCAGAACTGTCTGAGCAGTAAAATACAAAATTTAAAACTCAAAACCACGGAGCATTTGACATTCTCTTATTATTTCACTTATTTAAAGATCTTTGTTGTAGTTGTGACTTCTCCGATATTACTTATGTAATTCCTACATGTGAAAAGTCAATAATCAATACGGCGGTCCAGGAGTCCTCTGATGATAGTGAATGGTTGATGTTGGAAAAGGGCGCTGCATGCTCTCTGTCTGAAGCAGGTGTGAAGACACATGAAGAGCTTTGGGACTCCCTGAGAACCTGCTGTTCCACCCAGATGTTTTGACCTTTAAGGAGGAGATCGTCATTCACACAGGACTTCATCAAATGAACAGGAAACTCTTGGGTTGTTGGAGGTTATCACGTGACGTTTACCACTAAAACAGGACTCCTTGTATCTACATGTGATGGACTAAAAGAGTAAAGACTGCTGCATCCCGTGAAGCAGCCACCAGCAGGTTGAAACTGCTTTTTGGAGAGTCCCAGTGACGCAGTTTGTCTCTTGACTTAGCATCGTTGCTACATTGGGGACCATTCAGCTCTCTGACAGAAGAGGCCTGGAAACATCTGCTGCTGGTCTGAAGGAAAGACGTCATCTATCCATATTGAACAAAGTAGGACCCTCGATGACAACAGCAATAATAACCTTCAAAAGAACAAGTGATGTTTCACACATTCTAGATTTAGTTTTCATATCTTTAATTACATTGTAATGCTCAAACAACCTGAGGGCTGGGTGATGATGAGATAAACAAGCGTTAATGTGTTAGCGAGCATCTAGTCACCAATCTAGTTAAAAAGAAAACAGGATAAAAACCAAGAAGGCATCTTACCTCGTTAAGCTGTCCAATCAGATTAAGAGGTAAAGGAGAAGCATGGAGGGAAATAACAACATCTCTAATCAATAGTTCAAACATTGATTCTGTCTCTAACTTCTAAACCTGTTTTTACTTTATTTTAAAACATTTGACATTTTTACTGAAATCATAACATCAATGTTGACGTGACTTTTTTGCATATACGAAGGTTGGATGAGTTGCTAATGATGTAATCAACCAAAAATCTCTGAATTAATTAATTTCATAATAACAATGTTACACAAACTAACATTTCTGATGGTAAATTGGAATTTGAGTACCATTAATTAACCACTAAGGTTATTCATGAAACCCTGCATTGAACTATAGAGGTCTTTGTAGGATGCTCCTCTCTCCTCCTACACGATGATTTAACACTTTTACATTTTGTCTTCATTCATATTGTTTCTATTAAAATTGTTTCATCTATGTTTTGTTTTTTGTAATTTTATATTAATCATATACATAATATTGGAAACTTTGATCAAAAGTTTAAATGAAGCATTGTTCTCCTGCAGATCAAATAACCATGACAACTGCCAGATTCTTTATGCGATTACAATTCCAGTTTATATTTGAACAGTAGTTTCTCATGCAATAAATAAAGTTCTACCTTATTTTGAAATAATATTCCTATAATTAAAAGTGATCAGAGCTCAGCAGCAGACCACAGAGCTCACAGGTACCGGTGGGACAGACATGCAGAGAGACAGACAGAAACACTAGAATAAGTCCTCACCACTAACTTCCTGCAAATGGAGGGTAAAAACACTGTGTGTGTGTGTGTGTGTGTGTGTGTGTGTAATGGATTTACCCTGAGGGCAACACACACACACATGCATTATAGAGCTTCCCTCCAGCTAATGGGCCAAAACAGGGAATGATTGTGACTCTGCGTAGTAAGTAACATCCATTAGTAAGTTTCTCCTGATGAAAATGTGTAAACATGTCGTCACACAAAGACAAATGAACGCACACACTGCCTCTTTTTTTCAACCTTAAATGTTGGACTCCTCCTTCCTTCATTAATCCGATGACTGCTAAAACGATTAATTGATGAATTGATAAGAGAAGATCATTAATATGCCGGTGAGACTAGAAGGTTTGGAAGAGATGATTAGTAATAAATGTGACGAGGTGTATTTCCTGAGTATTCCCTTTTATTTGTAGAATAAAGGTTTAATCCATTGATCGACAAATTGATTTTTGACATTATTACTCGAATAATGTACGATGGCAACCACCTGCTAACAACTGAGACTAGTTTTTGCTGTCCGTTTTTGTAGTTCACAAAACAATGTCTTATTGTACAGTTATTGAATCGCTTCTGTTTCACATCCGCCAATCATGGTTATGAACAAATAGGAAAGAATGTGAATATTTTAATCTAAAACATAAAAAATGACTTTTTAAGGTTTGTTGTGTTATCTTCATCCCAATATCTCCAAATTACATCCACGATTAGGGCTGTCCTTCATAACGTTGACATTCTACATTTTATATTAATAATAATGAAAAAATCTTCCTTTACTGTAATGTGTAAGTATAAAAGTCAACATCATTTTAGAAAAGATAGATGTAACAATAAAACATACTAAAGATTCAGCCTTCAAGAAACAATATTTCACTGCAGTATTAACAAGGTGCTGTAGCAGCAATTATGAACTTCATTCATATAATCAGAATAAGATCATTTATCACATATCTTTTATGGGGATGCCACCATATAGTATTTTGAAAATCGATCCCAATCAGCACAACCCTTCGAGCAACCTTTTACAACCAGCCTGAGTATCCTAGCAACCGATTACCAAATGGTAAGCACATGTTTTAACAACCTTGACAACATAGCAACCGCCTCTTCCCTGTAATCAACTTCAATGTGTTTCTTTTTGCTTGATTCTGAGATGTTTTAAAGGTCAAGTGTAAAAGCTAATCAATCGTGTCCCCCCTAAAGGTGTGTTTTTTTCATTGTGAACAAGAAACTTTCAAAACTCAGCCCGGGAGGATTTAGGACTTTAAGAAACTAATGAAAATATAAAAACCTTCCATAGATGGAAGAGGCCTGTTAGTTGTGTGTGTGTGTGTGTGTGTGAGAAAGCGTCACCTCATACTCCTCCTTGAAGCCGTAACCTTCAGCGCATTTCATCTGGGTGATGTGCTGCAGTAAGTCGGCTACTCGGATGGCCGGGTGCAGCTGCCCCGTCTGGTAGGGCAGCGCCTCCCGCTCCGTCTCCCGCTGCTTGTAGTGGGACTGGACCAGGCTGCTGGTTTCACTGGTCATAGTGTGACTGTCGTCTGGGGGAGAAAGAGCAGAATATGCGAATAAAGGGAGACTGTAGCTGTGGTCAGCAGACTTGAGTAGTGACTCAACATGTGATGCAGATATGACTTATGTTCATGCATGGAGTGGACCGGACTGACCTGGGTCAGAATCCACACGTGTTCACACTGATCTATATGCATACTATTTGGTGTCACATGATGTCAGGTTTGGGCTTGAATTTGTCGGTCAAAGATGTATGACATTTTGTCTTTTTAAATTAAGTTTCCTCAGATGATTTTTGGAAACTTGATTTGGGGAATATCTTTAGGGTTGATTTATTAATTGTCTGAATTGAGATATAATACAGCTTAATTACATGGATGCCTCAGCAAGCTGAAATTTGTGTGACTAGAACCAGATGTAAACTGACTGTAACCGGACTGTTACAGTGTGACTAGATATAACCCTACTGTAAGAATGGGACTAACCAGGTGTGAACTGACAGTAACCGGACTGTTACAGTGTGACTAGATATACCCCTACTGTAAGAATGGGACTAACCAGGTGTGAACTGACAGTAACCGGACTGTTACAGTGTGACTAGATATACCCCTACTGTAAGAATGGGACTAACCAGGTGTGAACTGACAGTAACCGGACTGTTACAGTGTGACTAGATATAACCCTACTGTAAGAATGGGACTAACCAGGTGTGAACTGACAGTAACCGGACTGTTACAGTGTGACTAGATATACCCCTACTGTAAGAATGGGACTAACCAGGTGTGAACTGACAGTAACCGGACTGTTACAGTGTGACTAGATATAACCCTACTGTAAGAATGGGACTAACCAGGTGTGAACTGACTGTTACAAATGATATTCGTCAATATGTGTCTATTTGTGTTTTTGAAATGTGGAATATACCCAGTAATATTAGTGAATTAAGATATCTGTGCAAAATAATAATAATTTTCTTTTACGTCCTCTCCGCATGTCTCAGCTGGGCTCGGGCCGTGTCCCAATGGGGCGGGTCTAAGAAGCAGTTTAGCCAATCACTGATGAAGATAATGAGTGACACATCATTTCAGAGTCCTAAAATACCTGCCTGTCCTCACAATCAGGACCGGCGTGAAAGGGCAGCCGACGCTTCTGTAGAGATGCTACACCGGCAGGTTTAGCTAGCTAGTTAGCTATGTGCTAACGCCGTATATGGACTGTGATTGGACGCGGAGGCTGGTTGAGTCCGTCACGTCACAGAGTTCAAATTAACATCACTACATGCGACGCACACAGGAATGTGGTGAAGACACGCAAGCAGGACGTGGATGAAAACTGCGACACACTCAACTGCAACTGCATCATATATATACAAACGACAAACTACATGCATCTCTCTCTCTCTCTCTATATACATATATATATATATACATACATACATATATTTACATTGTAATATATTTATCCTTTAATATAAGATATGTATTATATTTATATTGGATATTAGTATGATATGGTAGTTATATCATATTCTGAATATTGTTTTTTATATATATATATATACACATACACTAATATGTTATCAACTAAAAGGAAGATGATTTGACAATGACAACCCCATGTGAACATTTACAACAATGTTGTTACGCTAAAACACAGATGAATAGCAAAGACATCAAATCACATGACTAGAGAAAAGGTGGTGATTGGCCCTATAGTTTCTTTTCACACTGCTACCAAAACTACTTAAAAAACTGTTTTATTAAAAATATTTTTTAGTTAGAGTTTAGGATATTATTTCTACTGTCTAGTCCTACAACAGCATGGTATAAGCACTGGTGTAAAACGATTAAAGCATGGTATCAGTACTGGTCAAGATCCAATTATCAGTAAAGGTCCAGACTTAGTACAGCATGGTATACGTCCAACAAAAGTTATCACCACTGGTCCAGACCTATAGTATATACATACATATGTGTACATATATACTATACAATATAGTAGAAGCATTGGTCCAGATCTACAACAGCATAGTATCAGTACTAGTCTAGATCCAGTAAAGTATGGAATGAGTACGGGTCCAGATCCAGCTTCTTGGTGCTGCAGTGTGAAAAGAGCAGAGTTCAAAGTCCTGGGAACAGAACCCACCTTTTCAGTAAACTAGTTCTCGTTAAACCTTGAAAAAAAACGTCCATGACTCCGATGTAAACATTTCAACAGTTGGCGGACATAACTTACGCTACACTCTCTACCTCTCTCTCATTGGCTAGCCTGGGGCCTGACTGACCAATCAGAAACTCTATCCCAAACAGCCCAACCAATCATCGCCAGGGCGAGGAGATGGGCAATGTGATGCAGGTAGTGGTTTGTGAATGGAGGGGGGGACTAATGAGACAAGCACAATGACAAAAATGGTAAACAATCAGAGACAAACAGATGGGCAGATCTGGACCTGATTGCTTTGACTGGAATGGTGGAAGGATTTAGGGATTCCGAAGTCACAATTTAACAAAAGGGGGAAATGAAGCATGGCGACGCTAATTGATGACATCACAGCAAGTGGTGGATGTTGCTCCATGTGCAGTGGTGTCCCCCCCAACATGAGCCCCCCCCCCCCCCCATTAGCCCCAAATTAACCACTTACCATTAATGGGCACTTTATACAGAGAAAGATAGAAGAGAAGAAGAAGAGAGAGGAGACAGCATATAAGCAACAACGTTCGCTTGAACCTGGACTATCTACGGAAAACACATAACTAGCATGAATCAAACAGGAAGTAGCTCTTAGCATTGTAGTTGCTCTATTGGAACTTGTAACAGCAAGCAGAAGGCACATAAGCTAACTTGGCTAACTTGGCAAACTGTTCCTCAAGCGTAGGAGTCATTGCTTGGGCTAACATCACAATCTCTTGTCTGGAGACAGAATATTTAGCCTGAGGAGAGACGAGAAACAGGAATCTATGTTTTGCTTTCAGCATTCCCCTTCCTTTGGACATTAAATTAGTCTGACATTTAGCATTGGAGTTTAGTATTAAACAGGATGGGGAAAATGTTTGAGTCAATTCTCATAATAATCATTCATTTGTGTTATATCTTGGGTATTTTTTCAGAACAATCAGCTTTTACCCCGAATGGGCTTTTTTAGACTGTTAGACTGGTGTGTTTGAAGAATAATCAGTAACAACAATGACACCAGGAGGACTTCAATTAACATGTATGTATGATTCCCTTCCCCTCTCTTTTAGATTCTCTTTTACAACAAAACAAAGGAACATAATCAAGTCTGAAACACAGATATTTTATAGAAACATAACTAATGGCTGGATTATTGTCCTTTTGTTTAAACCCACTTATTGGTTTAGTTCTAAAACACTTTGATTTAGGTCAAAGAACGATTCAGTTGTTTAAAAACCTCAAGTCAATATCTGAACAAGAATGAGGGTTGTTTCAACACAACTCATTTAGCTCTAGTTAGCCTTAGTCAGCTTTAGTTGCTAACCTGAAGACATAAACACATAATTGAGGTGGTAATACGTTTGTCTTCAGATATATTTGCTGTTAAAGAAATGACCAAATCATATCCATTTATAAGTACACTAAAGGGTTATTTATTAACCCCATATGGTTAACTCCTGGGTTTACTCATTGAGGTCCCAGAGCAACGGTACCCAGGGTAGGACCGGTCCATCGCCAATGCAGTGCTGGTAGGAATATAACAAAATCACGCTGGGTCACCACGCATGCTCGATCGACAGAGGTAGCACTGGTGCTAATTAGCGATCCTTGCTTACTAACAGACACATCTAATTTAATTCAAAAGCAACCCTGGATGCCTCCAATCAGTGCAAGTCATCGAGTAAGGTAATGACCAAGAATGTATGGAATGGTTGTGACTGTTCCCTCGCTTCTGACAGATGAGAGGCTCGTTGTCTTTTTTATATTGTTCCGTTTTGCGTTGCAGCGGTGTTGTTCCGTTTGGTTACCGTTACTACTCGTTATTATCATTATTCGGGCATATCAACATTTCATCATCAGCCGACTACAGAATGAAGTCATAAGGACTAGAATCATGCTTATATATACATACTTATATATATATATATATATATATATATATAAGTATTTAATATATTTTAAGATATTGATTGCAGGCTAAATTTCTTTGCGTTAATCTTCCTGCTCATTTCATGTTACTCTGAAATCTTAAAATCCACAAACGTCCAGAAATCGAAACGTCACAAAGGCAGATATTGTGACGTTTGACTGACTCTGGATTCGGGGCCGATTCATTGCTCCTTGTTTTCCTCCCCCCCATCCACGAAGACGTGTTGTGTCCATGCAGAGGTTAGAGGTCACAGACAGACGTGACGTCAACACGGCACGCAGGAATGTTGTGGATGCGGGGATGGAGTGAAGCCCACCGTCGTTCTCCAAATAAAAACCACAAACAACCCAAAAGACCCAAACATAAATTCCTTCTAAAACAAAACCAAAATAATATATATATATTCAGCAAAAAGATATAACGAAATTTTATTATTTTTGCAATGAAAACAAATTAAAAATACAAGAAGTAATCAGTTAAGCAAATAAAAGAAAATAAACAACTGAAAAGAAGGAAAATAATAATAATTTAAAATTTAATAATAAGAAAAAATAATTATATTCTAATCTTTGAAATCAAATAAACAAAGGTGCAATTAAAACCAAAAATAATCAATATAAAAAATGTAAATAAACAGCCAAACAAGAAGCAGGCAGGGATGGATGGAAGCCAAAGTATCACACTCTTTCTCTTTCTCATTCTCTCCATCATCTATCTCTAAACTCTGTCCTTTGACTCTTCTGTCTCTTCTCTTTCTCACCTGCCTGTCTACTTCCTGCCTATATACTTCCTGTCTGTCCACTTCCTGTCTATCTGCCTTTGCAGTTTGTTTGGTTCTGTCCTACAGAGGAAGGAACTGAAAAGTGCCTCACCTAGAATGGCCGTCGGTACGAAGGGATCTGCCATCAGGACACAGCCGCAGCAGACAGACAGACAGGACAGATAGAAGAGACAGACAGACGGATAGGACAGAGAGACAGGCAGACAAGAAGGTAGGGCAAAGGAAAAAACAGAAAAGAAGATGGAAACATTGGTGTTCATGAATCCAGCTGGCTTGAGTGGACTGTGGCTGCTGTGGAGATCCAGATGAGGACCATTTGTAAGGAGCAGGTGTGAGGACCATGTGTGAGGACCAGGCGCGAGAAGGACCTGGTCCTCAGCCCACAATCAGAGAGTCAGAGCAGAGCATCGGTCTGGTCTTTTTTCTGTCTCTTCTACCAGACAAAACATGCAGATACAACAGAAACTCACGAGTCAACCACCAATTAGTCCATATTGAGAACACAATCGAAATGTTTATATTGTGATTTCTCTTGTTTCAACGTGAGCCAGAAACAGTAAAGCAACAAACATGATGATCAACAGTCACTTATCCTGTTCCAAAGTGTTCTTGTGAATCTGATGATCACCATCATTCTGGTTGGATTCTTAATCAGTAACGCAACAGAATCAATTAATCACTAATGTGACAAAATCACTAAATTGGACAGAAACCAATCAAATCAATGAATTAGTATTTCTGCACCCTGCTAAATTCCCATGTCTATTACAAAACATAATATCTGCTAAAAGGTAAATGTTGTCTACTTTTATTGATATTTTCTCATCTTTTGACCACTCAAAGCTCTTTAATACACGTCATCAATCACACTCATTGATTGACTGATGACAGGAGCATCTAGGGTCCATCAGAATGAACTAACATTCACATTCATTCACACCCAACTGTGCCTGTGGGAGTAATCCGGGGTCAGTGTCTGGGCCACATTGACATGCCGACTAGCAGAGCCGGGATCAAAGCGCTAACTGAAGGACGACTCTTCTCTTTCACTGAGCCACGGTCGCCCTGGTCGTGTCACCATGGTTTGTGAACAATTGTGTGTGTGTGTGTGTGTTACCTGGGTAGTAGGAGTTGGGGACGGTGGTGCTGATGGTGTTTGTCTTAAGGGCGAAGGAAGACGGAGAAGATACAGCTGGAAGGAGAAACAACAAACACCACTTTAATGTCCTCTGGGACAGAAATGTATTCTTCCTCTAGCCATAGAGCCCAGGATCGTTCGCCATCATCACCATCATCATCATCATCATCATCTGTGCCCCTATTTCTAAAAAGTGGATAATTTGGAAGATGAGATGGACTTTGGGCTTCATCAACAACGTCTCACTTCGAAGACAAAGTTGTAAAAGCACTCAAAAAAAGACACAAAACCACTATAAAGAGACACTAAATGGTTATAAAGAGACACTAAACAAAGTATCAACAGACCCGAAAAAACTAAAAGACACAAAACGACTATAAAGACACTAAATAACTACAAATAGACTCAAAAACATGAACAAGAGATGAGAAACCTGAGAACTACAAAGAGACACAAAACAACTACAAATAGAATGAAAAGAACTATAAAGAGACGTTCTGTCCTTTTGTCTTATTATGTTGTTGTCTGCCATGAGTCTATGTGTTATTTATCTTCTCACTTCATATTTCTGTATTCCGTCTAATTCTGTCTTTATTTTGTCTCCTCAGGCTGTCTTCACTTGTTTTGTCTCGTTGTGTTGCTGTTGTTACACTTGTCCTTTCAATGTGACTTTTATTATCAGACAGATTTTAACCGCATTTTGTTATATTTCCATCTTTCAAAATAAAAGTGATTTTAAGGCCTATATTTTCAAAATAAAAGACCCCCGTCTTTGTTGTCATAGGTTTTGTGTGTACTCACTGCGTCCGTTAAGTGTGTGTGTGTGTGTGTCCACCATCACTATGTGTTGGGAGTTGTTGACCATCAGAGTCATTTCCTGTCTGGAACTCAGCGTTTCCTTCCTCTTCTTTGCCAACTTCCTGTAGAGACACAAACAGACAACCCATCCGTCAGTGAGAAGCATGAACCCACCAGAAGAGGTTCATAGAAGAAGCCAACATTTTAAGTGTAGGAAGGGTTCTTGTGATGAAGAACTAAAAGTGAGGGATTATGGCGTTGTTTCAGCCGCTGCGACCTTCAACGTCCTCTTCTCTTTAACTTCATGTGCTCACCAGTTTAAACTGTGGCGGCTGGTGATGATCATTCTTCACAATGAACTGACCACAATTAAATTCCTGAATGATTAACAAAGCTGAAGAATGTCGATTTTTCTTGTACTCAAAACATGGAAGGTTTTTCTTAATGATTTTCAAGCTTTCAAGCTGTGCTTGTTTTATTTCATTGTTAATACAAATAACTTTTCATATGGTAATTCTTATACATCATGTCCCTATTTGTTGGTCTCTTGTATCACCACTGCAAAGAAAAAACTATGATAGTTTACACCACAAAAAACATATTTCCATCCTCGCATCTGTCCATCTACCATCATCTGTACCATGTACACACACACACACACACACACACACACACACACAAACACTCAGAAACAACCACTGTACATCATAAAAGCTCGATTTATTTCTCTCTATTTCTATTTCGAGTGTGTGAATAAAAAAAAACATCCATTTGTCCAATTGCTCACAAGCACAAGCGCACACATGCACACGCACATGTACGCACACACGCACAAAGTGCAAAGTTTAACCGTGACCTGAAAATGGAAACGGTAAAAAATACTGAGATATATAAATAAATATAAAAAGGCTTTTAAAGTTGGAAGTGCGAGTACTGTGAGAGCGTCTGTGTGAGTCGGGGGGCGGTGAAAGCGCCCTGAGGCAAGGTGCTGCTTTCCTCCCCCTCACGTCTCCCCCTCATGTCTCCCCCTCACGTCTCATCAGTGGTTGAGCCAGACAACCGACAACGCTCCTCTGACTCAGACCGCAACACACAAACTCTTTATCTGCTGCATCACATAAAAACAACAAGCTCCATATGTTCATTCGTCTGTTAACAAAGTCTGAAGACTGCTGTCAATAAGAGAAAGGAAACAAATACCAAGATTAAGGCCGGCGCGTGTTTCTGCGTCTGCGTCGCTGCGTCGACGCGCTGGTTTCACTTCCTGGTTGTAAAGTCCTGCGTGTGTTGCAGAGCGATTCACCTCCAGAACAACAGGTGGAGTCACGTGTTTTGTTGAAGACGACCTGGAGAGTCACGTCTTTGTGTGTGGAAGTCGCTGGTTGCTTTATTTATGTATCATAGACTTTATTGCCCCGTGCATCCACACTGCTGCTTTTCATCAAGGACACATTTGTCCCGTATTTTCCTCCACGACTTTGTTCCTCTCGACCGGCAAACCGGCGTTTGCGGCGATCTCCCTCCGTGAATCCAACCCGCTTCTAAACCCGCCAATGACGGCTCGTATAAGCGCTCATATTTACGCATTTCCTCCGACAAAAGTTCTTCAATCGGCTCCGTTCTCTCGTAAACATTCTTCGTTTTAATAATGGCGGTATCGGGCTGTGAAAGCGGAGACGTGAGACTCCGTAAAGGACGTAGTCAGCGGACCGATCGCAGCCTGGTGCTGCAGGACGCAAGGAGGTGTGAAAAGACACGCAAGGAACACGCAAGGGGGCTTGTGTCTGCGTCGCTCTGAAAACGCAGAAGCATAAATCAGGCTTTACACTACAAAAAGAGACAACAACAAAACAAAGGGACACAAACAAACTACAAAGGGTAGAAATACATTTCAAAGAGACGCAAAACCACTACAGACACACAAAACCACTCCAAAGCAAGACAAAATTACTATTGAGTATTTTCTTTCCTTCCTGCAGTGTCAACCTCTCTTGACTCCAATTATCTGAACTGACCTTTGACCTCTGACCCACACACACTCAAACTTACCTGTGCTTTATCAGCTTTTACATCTCACTTAAATAGAGAGTGTGCGTGTGTGAGAGTGTGTGTGTGTGTGTGTGTGTCCTGACATCATCAACGAGGTGTCATGTTTGATGGATTTAACGGCACTCATACACACAAGCATGTCCAAGCTAATCAATGCATAATCTAATGAGTGAGAACACAATGATGATGTGTAACTGTGTGTGTGTGTGTGTGTGTGTGTGTGTGCGTCTCTTATTGTAACATCATTTTATCAAACAGGTTTGTTACAGCTGGCTAATTCTGTTAACCCTGAACCACCACACACACACACACACACACACACTCACACACACACACACACACACACACTCACACACACACACACTCACACATTCACGCGCTCGGTGAGCTGGGGAGGAGTCGGGTCGGAGATACCTGGAGGGACCAATCAGGAGGATGAAGCTGGAGTCCTCCCCAAGCAGTACTTTATACTCTGTACCGTACATATAGTACATCATACTTCACCTACTATATTTCAGAGGTCTCTATTCTCTATTCTTCTCTTCTACTACATTTAAGAGGTATATGTTGTACTTATAATTCAAGAGATACATATAGTACTTTATTCTGTACTACATGTCAAAGGTACATGTAATACTTTAGCGTCTTAGTGTCACAGCATCATAACGTAATATATTTAGAAAATTGGAGCTTGGAGAGTTATAGTGTAAAAGATGTATACAGCTGCGGAAATATAACGTAATAGAGCTACGATGTAAAAGATTTATAGAGATACAGGGTTATAATGTAAAATGTTTATAGAGCTGCAGAATTAAAATGTAAAATATGTCTTTAGTTGTACAGTTATATAATACATGTATTGAGTTATAGCCTCACAATATAATAGAGTTATAGTTATAGCTTCATAATGTAATCGATTTATAGAAAGTAACTTTAATTCAATTCTATTCACTTTATTTTGTCCAAAATGACCCGTTACAGATTTGTCTCAAAGGGCTTTACAGTCTGTACACGTGCAGCATAAGTGCGTCATAAGTAATAGATTCATAGAGTTGTAGCATCATAATATTAAAGCGACAGCCAGATGTAAAAACGCCTCTAAAGAAACCATCTCTTCATCAGTCAACTTATGGAGAATATTTTGCTCCCTTTCTCTTCTCTAGCAAATTCTCTTTTTTTAAGGTTTATGGGTCAGAGGTCAAAGGTTTATGGGTCATAGATGAACGATTTGAGGGTCAGAGATGGAAGTTGTAACTGTCATAGATCCAAGGTTTAAAGATCAGGGATCAAAGGAATAATGGTCAGAGATGAACATGTAAGAGTTGAAGGTCAGAGGTCAGTTAGGAAGTTCTGCTTTGAGGTGTTGAGATGTTGTGAAGGTGAAGGTGAAGGTTGCAGGTCAAACAGGTTACTCACAGATAGTAAGTGTAGGAGTGATAATTTCTCCGTCTGAGTGGTGGGGGTCGGGGGGGTGGCAGAGCAGAGGAGAGATGGAATGGAGGGAAAGAGAAAACAGAAAAACAGAGAAAGGAAAAACAACAGATTAATGTCCCAGAGAGAAGAACTGAACAGATGAGCTGTATTATTCTGTGTGGAGGAGACTGAAACCACGTGGGAAGGAATCTGCTTATTATGGCTACAGTTTATAGGAGTCTACAGCTGTAGGGCTTAAATATTAATGTAGTTGTACTTGATTTATAATGTAGTAGTCAGTTAATATAGTAGTACTTGTTATATAGTTTACAAAGTATTGTAATTATAATTAAGGAAATTAACCGTCTAGTTTAATCCTTTACATCAAAGAAGCAGATGTTGTACTTTCAGCTGTACTACGATTATCTGAACGATGAACATACTACTTATAACTTTGTTTAATATAATAAAAAGGAATATTGTTACTTTAGATACTTGTGTTTCTGCACATTACGGTATTGCTGAAGCAAAGGCAGAGCAGATGACAGAGGCTCCGTTGTCCTGTTGAAATGATCCTTCACCTACATGTATCAACACGCCGTCCTACAAAGACCTGCTGCTGCCTGATCACCCTGCAGCCAATCACAATCTAAAGACAGACTCCTGCTGTAATGAGTCTAACCTCTGTCTGCTGGCAGAATGAAAATCAAACGCACCCCGTCAGTATTAAAAAGCTCATTAGAGACGTTTCCTCTCTCTAGTATCTGTTAAAGAGATCAGAGCTCCATCCACCCAGCAGAGGAGTGTGACTGGAACGCAGCGCACACACACGCACACACACACACACACACACACACACACACATCCTGATGAAAGTGTGTGTGAAGTGTAGATGGGTGTGTTTCTGTAGCCTGGAGCCATTCTGCTCGAGGCAACTCTGGAAAAAAACAAAGAATAAAACGCTCTTTCATCTAAATTTCTGTCTCATCGTCGACGTTCTCCAAACACAGAAGCTTTGCTCTGTGTTTAAGTGTGTGTGAGTGTGTGTGTGTCCCAGCAGGGTTGTGTGTTTGATGTTGAAGAATAAAGTGGATCCCCATATACTTTAATGGTGATTACTGCTGCAATCTGCTCCATTATTTATCCTTATCATCCTCACTATGAGTGTGTGAGTCTATGCGTGTGTGTGTGTGTGTGTGTGTGTGTGTGTGTGTGTACTTCTTTGATGTAACTCAATTCATCTACATGTAATATAAAATACTACCACTATTAAAGAATATAAAAAATATATATTCATATTCCATAAAAGTGATAATGAATAGAGTAGAAATATACCACATTAATCTTAAATCAATATAATTTACTGCTATTAACAAATAATTACTATGAACTGCTATTTAACACATTAATGGCCATTAGCTTAATAAAATACCATTATATTATCAATTAACATAAACCTCTGTGAAAAATGATATGCAACCATTTACTCTCATTAACATAACTTATTCTTTATTCACCATCTGAAGAAAATAACTAATTACTACCATTAAACAACTGAATTACCAATATCAAAACCAAGACTTACCATAAACTACTATTGAACAAATGAAACACCAAACCAATTCCTACAATTAACTAAACTACCATTTATCAAAAAGATTACCCATTATCAAACTAAACACTTTCATTAACATTATCCTCCAATAAAATACCGAGTTATATTGTTAACTGTGGTGGTTAACAATGGTGAAGTTATTTAAATAATCACTTTTGACATTACAATTAAACACAGTTATCAGTCAAATGATGGAAAGGGGGGATTTAAATGCTTTATTTGGTGATTAAAACTATTGTTTATTTAGTGCAACAATCAACGATCAGATGAAGCTAAACAGCCCACATAAATAAAGAAGAAAGCGTGAGATGACGGAGAGGAGACAGAATGATCCCATGAACACAGAGGTAATTGATCTTACCGTTTCTTCATCAGCAGGACAACCCCGAGGAAGATGATGATGAAGAGGAGGAGGCCGGCGATGGCCCCGGCAATCTTCACCGTGTGGTCGGACTGCTTCTCCTGCTCCGGCTCCGGCCTCCTGGTGGCTGCTCCTGCAACCACATCCTCTTATTGTCCAATGGTTCATCTTCCACAAGCTAAACCTCAACGGACGGAAAGAATCTAACATGCAAACATACAAAATAACTAGAAATGACATTTGAACATTTATACATTATTTTAATCTTTACGGCATCATGTGATTAGTGTGGATTTCAATCACAGCCCGTCAGTATTTGAGAGGAGGTAAAGAGGAGAGGAAGTGAAGAGGAGAGAAGAGAGTCCTTCTGACTGTATAATGTGATGAGACGTCCCATAGAAAACCCATTACCCGCCTGTGTGTCTGTGTATGTGCATGTGTGAGAGTGTGTGTGTATGTAATGTATGTGTGTGTCATTGTAAGACCTACAACACTTTCCCAATCTGAACCTGACACCTGCCATCAGTCAAAGGGTGTGTTTGTGTGAGCGTTTTTGTGTGTGTGTTTGTGTGTGTTTAGCTGGTCGTGACGGAAATTACAAAGTGGAAACATTTCTCTCAGGTATCTTTATAATGAAGGAAAAGGAAATGACTTTGGACCAGTTGAGTTCTAGACTGGAAAGTAACAGACCAGAGACCACAAGATACAGACCAGTCTCTACCAGAGCCTAGTCACCAGAGTCCAGTCTGTACCAGAGAAAAGAGACCACCAGATACCAGAGACTACCAGAGACCACCAGAGACCAGTGTACCAGAGACCACACACTACAGACCAGAGACAAGTCTGTACCAGAGACCCCCAGAGACAGGTCTGTACCAGAGAAAAGAGACCACCAGATACCAGAGACTACCAGAGACCACCAGAGACCAGTGTACCAGAGACCACACACTACAGACCAGAGACAAGTCTGTACCAGAGACCCCCAGAGACAGGTCTGTACCAGAGAAAAGAGACCACCAGATACCAGAGACTACCAGAGACCACCAGAGACCAGTGTACCAGAGACCACACACTACAGACCAGAGACAAGTCTGTACCAGAGACCCCCAGAGACTGGTCTGTACCAAAGACTAGATATCAAAGTCCAACAGAAACAAAGAGACCAGAGAGTAGACAACAGAGACCAGAGATCCCTATAGACCACCAGAGACAAGTCTGTACCAGAGACTAGACACCGGAGACCTCCAGAAACAAGTCTGTACCAGAGACCCGGGGCCTCATTTATAAAACCTTGCGTAGGATTTGCACCAGAAGTGTTGTGCGGATGAAACGTAGGACGTGCGGACGCACAGAAACATTCAGACTTATAAAACGTCCTACGCAGTTTTCCCTTAATAAATCACAATCACTTCTAAATGCAGCGCAGCTTTTGCGGCTTCATGTCACGCCCACAGTTGCCCATATATAGTCTGTGGAACGCCCACAAAATAATATTCATCGATTGCGAAATCATGACAAACACTGAGAGGAAAACGAAGAAACGTAACTTCACTCCGTGTGAAGTGGAAATGATCATTGGGAGGTGGAAGGAGACGTAAGATGCTCTTTGGAGGACACAGTGTGGACATCACTGATGCCAACAAGGCACCTGAGGGGCAAAAGGTTGCAGAGCAACGCTGCAGCCTCACGACCTCGGACCCAAATAAAGAAAAACTGGTCTGACATCAAAGTGGAAGCAAAGAAGCGTTCAGCGCGTCAGCGCCAATCCTTCCATGTGCCACGTCTTCTAAGAGCGCAAGATCAGCCATCAGCGTCATTACGCATCGTGACGGCATCACGGCGTTTTATTACCGTCCATCTGATTCCTTCTGACAAGCAACAGCTGTGTTTAGAGGATGAATTTAATAACATGCCGATATTATTGCAGAACATATTTCACTTTTCTTTTTGAAAATGTGTTAATTTGTATTTGTTTGTTTTCCTCTGCAGATCAGACGGGTGTTTGTGTTATTTATGAGAGGCAGTATTGGCATTTCTTTTACAACAGTCTAGTTTCACACACGTTTGCGTGTTTCTTGCATTTGCCGACGGTTCATTTCACCCGTTTTTGTGCGTACGTGTGGGGCCGAGCTTGCGTGAAGGACGGCACATTTTTCCGTCAAGTTTGCTTTTTATAAATACCAATTATTGCGTAGAGAGCGGCGTACGCCTTCTGTTGTGCGTACGCAACGTTTATAAATGAGGCCTGAGGACTAACCCTAAGACCAGAGACCACCAGAGACAGAAACTACCAAAGACCATCTGCAGTCAACTGGTTTTCAGTATAATAATAAATGTGTTGGGTTATACTATGAAACAGGGTTCTTTATTCTGTTTTTATTTTGTCTTTTCAAGGTCACACACACACAGACACACACACACACACACACACGCAGACACACCTTCTGATAGGCTGCGCGTGGAGGCAGGGGGGAAGACCTCCTTCTTTTTTAACGAGGACTAAGCACACTACCTTTGAAGGGGGGGGTC